GAACAAAGGTTACTAACCTCCATAACAAGAAAGACATTGTTGGATGTTTCCTGAAAGATATAAACAGTCAAAGATCACGTATAAAAAAGTTGCAACTTTTATAATAAACTTGATAGTATTGTTAAATCCTAAACCACATAGCATGACCGCAGTCAATGTTTGTGACAAGGTAGGCTTAAGATGATGACAAAATTACTAATAAATAATTTTCCACACAAAATGATCTTTATTCAAAATATATATGCTAATAAGTCAAATTATACTCCAAACCCAGAGAGGTAGATATAGTGACGAAAACTTTAATCCGAAACGGTGGAAAGTACAAGTTTTTGACAACGGTTTCTACTTTGCTCTCCATTTTACTTGAAAACAATTGTGTTACTAAAAAAAGATCAATTTACAAGGCACGCAAGTATGAAAGAAACGAACAGTATTTTTCCGAAAAAAAAAAAAAAACTGTGGTTAGTATCTTATTCATTCATTCTCGGCAATCTTCCAAAATATCCAACCACATGGCCACATCTTTTTCGAAATCAAAAATTTTTATAATTCCATCATTACCTGACAGTCGAAAAGAGACACCACATTTTCGTGATGAAGTTCCTATCATAGAAAATATAAACATTGTTCACAGATAAGCACATTAGACGGGTTTCGTATTTACAGTATCTTTATCATACGCGGGAAAAATTCAATTTTCAGTACAAGGATATATGACAGGAATGTTAAGAACCCAATATAAAGTTTGACCAAGGGCAATTGCTAAGCCAAGCACATGACAACTGCGTGAGGGATTATTATTTTTTCGATGAACTTTCCCCCGGGCATATATTGCGTCTTGTGATCACGCAATTGACGATAGCTTGTCAGACAAAAGGCTCACTCTGCAAAACAAATGTGTATTGCATAAGATTTCTATGATGAAGTTCTCGCTCTCTCACCTTAAGAATTTTTATTTCCTTTGCGAGAAGATTCTGAGTCTTGGAAAGATTCTTCTTCGCAATCACCTTGATAGCTACCACGAAGTCATCTTTCTGCAAGAGGAAGAAATCGAAGCGGACATCACGTACAATCAGAAGGGAGGAAGTCAAAAGAACACAGTACTAGTCGAAAGTAAAACTTGTACTGGCGTTTCTCTGCGGCGATATGCCCTGCGCGTTTCCGATGGGATTTATTACTGAAGCCACGTAAAATGGCACAAATAAATCTGCCTGAGACTCAACAATTTATTCATGACAATTAACTGAGCAAATGCAATGACGAGCGAGTTGATGGTATGCTCGATATCAAAATAAAATTTGCGTAATGAAAGCATATCATATAAATGCAAGTTCAAAAAACGCAACAATAGGTTCCAATGTTTTCGTTTATAAGGCAAAATTTCGGTTAGTTCATCTTCGGAAATCTATAGCACATTCGTCTCCTAGATTAAAAAAAAATCACACTCGGAAAATTACTCGGCCATAGGCGAATCGCGTCGGAAAGCGAGCGATCAAAAAAATTTTCTCGTCTTCGCAAAGCAGTGGACGTTACCTTTTTGTGATGTCCTTTAAAAACCACCGCAAAAGCTCCATGTCCAATAAAATCTTTCTTGTTGTACACAAATTCACCAACTCGCTCTGACATCCTAGAAGATACTTATTCTTTGTGAGATGAAAGAGCCAAACAGATTCTCTTCGTTGGAGAGATTTCTGGCGAGCGATCGAAACGAAAAAGCAGCCAATTTATCGCCAATCGACTGGGCTTTGCGAGGACTGTGTTGTCCCTTGTGAAAGGGATCCATCAACATCACTGCTATTCGTCCTCCATGGCTACACATTCACTTATTTCCCATGAAGATTCCGTCTCTATCGGCGAGGAGCGTTTGTTTTTGTTTCGTTGGGTGAATACATTTTATTTCACCGCTCAAAACAAACTTGCCGAGTGACGTCATTGGACGGGAGGTCACTAAGCTGTTTAGCGGAGTTGGGTGGAAACTTTTAAACGTGACCTGGGTCGGGTCTGGAGAGGATTAACCGATTTGGTGGAGTGGGTGTAACTAAGCAGTAAGAGAGGAATGCTCGCTCTAATAGATATCTTTGAACCATGTTCGCATTTAGTAAGCATGTAAAGCCACCTCTTTGTAGGAAAAATGTCACAAGAAAGTGTCTGATTCAACAGAATCAAGTTCTCTTCTAGGGTTTATCATAAAAGACTAGTCAGTTCTTTGATCAAAAATAAGAAATTAAGATGGCCCAAGGACAAAAGTAGTCAGTTCTTCCTCAGTTCTTTTTATTTCATCTTCCACTGTAGTAGTCTAAGAAGTGTCTAGAAATAAAAATTACAGGATCCGACTCGTGAGGCAAAGAAAGCATTTTGTTTCAAGAGGATCATACATTTAAGGCCTCGAGCTCCCTGGATGTTGATTTAAAAAAAAATGACGATTGCAGGACTTTCAATGGAAAGGTTGGTAATATAGTGGATACCTCAGAAAAAGAGAGGTATTCTCTGCATCAAAACAATCTGTTTCCATCGTGTCCCATTAAAATTCAGTTAAACTTATGAAAAGCTCAGTGCTGTGATTTCTTTAGACGACCGGGCTAACTAAATATTTTTTTTCCCGACATCACAGATATCATCATTCTTCAAATTGACGCCCTGGGCGCTTATTTTGAATTTCAGGAAGGAGAAACGCGTATAAGAGGAATGCACAGCTCTATCAAAGAAGGTGCTTATCTTGCTTCAAGTTTTTTTTTCTTTCTCTTTCACTATTCGGATTAGACAATCACCGGTTTTCATTTGTTTCACTTCTAGTTGGTATTTCCCTTCAATATACAATATATATTATATATAATAAATAAATATATAATATATATAATATAAAAAAGTATTGAATTCAAAGTCATTGACCTGAAAAATAGCTTTGTTCTTACTCATTACACAAAACTAAGAGTCGATGACCTGGAGGACTTCACCATAAAGTCATTATATTACGCTTGTGTGGCACCATTAATTGCAAAAATAATTACATAATTAATTATATATGAAGATGAACTGGAAAATTATATCCGTTTGAAGATGCTGGAACCGAAAGATTGTGTCTTAAAAAGAGAAAAATATTCCCATACAACCATTCTTGTTAAAACAACAAGAAGATTGGCTGCACTTGTATTAAATGATGCTGTCAAATAATCACAAATTTGAGGTTAATACACTTTGTTTACCGTCCGTTTACTTGGATTACTGCTTTTAGATATTTGCGCTTTGAGGTTATGATTTTGATACTTAGAGAATTGAAAGCTCAAGAACCGTAGAGAGAAGTCGTAATTTTCATCGCTTCGTCGATGCATGAATTATTATTTCCTTTCCTAGTTTCGTTTGCTAATTGCCCACACTGAGAAACAATTTAGCAGTCTTTTTTTCCACTTGCTTCCTTTTTCTAGTGCAGGTTTATCCAAATAATTCAGTGCCTTTCCTTTATAGCTCAAAAAACTTAAACTTTCATCAGCAAGTGAGCATAACGATATAAAATTTCACATTTAAAGTTTGCATACTTCAACGCCCACGATCCAACTTGTTTTAGCAGTCGTTACATTTTGCGCATGTTCCGTTGCAGTTTCACAGGGTGCGGTGCTGGTGCTCCACTGACGTGGCGGGATAAACACCCGCCAAAATATCACGCCACCTGGCAAGCGTGTCATCCATAGCAAATATCTCTGAATCCATAGAATTTCTACGCTCTCGATAGCAACATCTGTTGCACTTGAAGCGCCCTGGTTTTCCGGCCGTGAACATTATGAACCCTTAGTTCGGAAATGCTATTAGGGGATCAACTCTAAAACAGACGGGTGCCGGTTTTCGACGCGCGGATCGTATTTCAACAAATCCTTTAGCAAATTGGGCGAATGTTATGACACGCGCTACAGGAACTCAAAGCTCGGCTTACCAAGAGACCATGGCCGTAGGAAAAGTAGTCGCCTTATCGCTTATCCTGGTCGTGTCCACTACTGGTAATGTGTTGGTTTGTTACTGCGGGCTGCGATCTCCGAGGATGTCAGCCATGAACAGCCTTATTGTGAATTTGTCCATTGGAGAACTTGCCATTGCGTGCGTTGTAATTCCACTTAAAATCGAGCGTGAGATTGTAGGGGAGTACTTGCTTGGGGGACCAACGATATGCAAATTACTAGAATACGCCCAATCGGTTGCTCTCGGATCGGTAACAGTGACTTTGTTAATGATAAGCATGGACAGGCTTTATTCGGTGTTTTATCCGCTGTCAAAGATAACCCGTCGACAGGCTAAATACATGGGCGTATTTGCATGGTGTTATGCGTTGTTGTTCGCTAACCCCGTGTTATATTATTTCTTGGGAGCGAAACACCAACCGCAAGCTTTACTGTTCAGCTGTGACAAGCACTTGGCTTTGCCGTGGAAAGACAAGCTTTATTCCTTGATTCAACTCTGGGCAATATTTTTGTTGCCGATAATGATTATGACTGTGACATATTTCATAGTTGTGAGTAAGCTGTTGAAGCCTGATTCGGCGACTCATTCCTTAAACAAAATTGGTGCCCGCGAAGGTAGGCCAGACGTACCGATCAATATTCATCGTCGATTCACCAGCTCTCTGCGATCAAACGCTGTTCCTCTCGCCAAACGAAAATCAGTAGTGATGAACCTTATTGTAATGGCTACTTTTATTTTTTGTTATGCTCCGTTAGCGGCGATTTACGCTCTGGAAACTGTGGGCAATCCTAAGAAAAAAAGCGTTGAGATGTTTCGCGATTTCGCGTCTTTCCTGGCTTTGGGAAAATTGTGCGCCAATCCAGCGGTGTACAGCTTTTTCGACAGCAATCTTCGGGATCAGATGTGCCAGTGCCGGCAGAAATCCGCCCAGAACTCGCCCGTCCGACAGAAAATTATTTATCCGGGAATTTGTACCCAGGGGAAACTCAGTGAACTGAATGTCAGTAACTTTGGCAGACTCGTGGACTCAAAAGGACAAAGTACCGTTTTTAAGGAACCGCTGTTGCGTGTGTCATCGGGAGAAAACCCGTCTCCGAGCGCTCCCGGAGCTAAACGAGATAAACTGGCTCGATTAATCAGTAACACCCGACGTTACCGAAGTCTTGGCCTCTCAACTTGGAGAAGTTCTAATATCTAGGAATAGTTAAAAATGACAAGAAAACTTAATCCTCAGAGAAACAAGCCAGCACTGATCAAAACAATTTTCAAATGGAAAACATACAGGAAAACTCATAATAGTTTCATAGGCAGTAAACCTACCTTGACTCGAATTCGAGGGGTTTTAAAGATATTTTCTGACATGCTTCAATATAGTTTGTGTCTGCTGCAACTTAGGGCGGTATGCCTAATAATAATTGTGGAATCATTATAGGTTAAATTGCTGAAATTCTCCCCTCATGGGTTATTTACTTTGAGAATTATTTCTTACTCAACGATTTTGAGTTACACCACGATAAAATTTTTTTCTAAAGAAAGTACATTTATAATTTATTTTAGCATAAACCATCAAACTTTAGTACATACCGGCAACGAACAAGCAATTAATGAATAAAAAAATTTGCGTAAAAAAGCGCAGTTTGCTACAAAACTTTTAAATTTTCTGAGGAATTGTACACTGATTCTTATTTGTATCACAAGTGCTATCGTAAATGGTGCAACCATACGGCGTATTGGAGCAAACCCAATGAACGTCCACGATAATTTGAGCATTTCATTACACATTGTCCTTATAGACAGTCCAGGGCGTTATGGGAAAATAACTGGTGGTAAAACAAAACGCTGAGCGGGAGGCACTAAGGTCGGTTATTTGCACGAATTCCAACCAAAATCATGGTTTCACGCAATCAGTTAGCCTTAGGTTTTCCCTTAAGAGGGTTTTTCCTTACTTTGAATTCATGAAATTGACCCTGTCAGCTTTCGGCCCTCTTGACACAGTTCACAAAACTGAAATGTTCAGATTAAAGGTGCAGCCAAATTGAAGAGGGTTTTGAGTGAAGTTTTGTTGAACAACGGCTAAACAATGTTTACATTGAATAATTAAGGTATCGCTGGGAAGTTGCGAAAAGGGTAGAAGGAAACCTCACCTTGAAGTAACGGTTAGAGAGGGAACAAAGTGGCCGAGAAGGAAACCTATTCATCGAGTAACTTTGCGGATTATTGAGCCGAAACAATATTTTACACTTTTGAGGCCACTGAAGTCATCTTAATGAGCCATTGCTAGAGTTACTGTTGTCCGTGGTAACTACCTAATGACACGTGTAAAATGACTAACTCAAAACCGTGACATTTTAAGACACTCTTTCGATATCACATTTTGTGGTGATTGACCAATTGAGCTGCTGAAAGTCACCGAATGTGTTGTTTTGGTTAAAAATTACTGAAAATTTCCAGAAATGAAATAAATCCTAGGACCCATCCGTATATCTCTGCTTCGCTGATTTTGGCCAAAACAATTGAATGTGATAATTGAAGTTCACCACGACTTTGGTACCATTAAGACATTTGCATCCAACAATCTTCAGCTGGTGGAAAATGCTCTTTTTAATCACATTTGTTGTGGCTTGTTTTTCGTTTTGTAGGCATCTACTAAGATACCCTCAATTGATTTCTGTCGTCTACTAGAAAATGAACTGAAAACTACAAATGATTCAAAATTCTGGCTCTGAAAGTTCTGAAAGTCACAAAAGGTGAGATTTCAGTGTTTCTCAGTTCAAATATCGAGTCGGAGATTAACATCTTCTGCCTTACTCTTTGGACCATCACAGAATTATCTATCCAATATATTACAACTTTGTTGACTTAACGTACGCGTATCATTTCATATCATACTTGGAGTACAAAATACTCTCCATTTTTTTTCTTAAGTTTTTCTTGCTTGAATCCTTTCGCAAACTGTTGTTTAAGAAGAATGCAAATTTCTGTTAATATCCAGCAGGCTGTCCTCCTTTCCTGTAATCAGATTCTGCGTAGATTTGTGGTATCAAGCCGTACACATATCCTTTCCTTTTTCCTCGGTTGTCGATAAGCTTGTACTTGTGGGGATTTCTCACAATTCCTTGGACTACACCATGACTTATGTCACTAACGTTGACCTAAAATTAAAGAGAATGATCATAAAGGACATGTCAAAGAATCTAGTAAGTAGGAAATAGCTAAAATAGTTTTGCTATCACTGCTTGATCAGATGTAACAACAATGTTAGCCCCTGTGTAAGACTCCCATTATGCGAGCAGTGAGAGGACATCAAAGCAAACGGGGACGAGCAAAATTAATAAGCCCGGAAAATGCTCGCATTTGTGCTGTGGGAAAGAGAGGATGATGCAGGTAATTCTCTGTTGCTGTGAGGAGAAACAATATAAAAGCCTGCTGGGGAAATGTGAGTATTTCCTTTAAAGCCAAACTTACGCCAAAAATACAAATAAAAAATAGTGCTATCACCCCAAAATAATGGTATTCGACAACGATCAAAATAAGAATGTTGCTCTAGAATGTAAAGAATTCGTGAGATATCTAGGTATGATAATTGACAATAACCTTTCCTGGAAACATCATATTGACCACGTAGCAATTAAAATGAGTCAAACTGTAGGATTGATCTGTAAACTACGGCATTTTCTGCCAAGACATACTCTTCTAACTATTAATCGATCCCTTCTTGCCCCTTAATTAACCTATGGTTTGACGGCCTGGGGTCAAGCATATAAATCGTACCTTGAAAAGCTTCTCAAGCTTCAAAAGCGAGCTCTTCGCTTTATCTATTTCTCAGAGCGAAATCAGCATGCCTTTATTTATCGGACGCCGGTGTCTTACCGTTAAAATTTTTGTATTATGAGCATTTAGCTAACCTTATGTTTGAAATAAGATACAGTAATGCTTCTGGAAACATTTAAAATCTTTTTCAAGATGTCTCTGATATTCGAGCCCCAGATGGGACTTGAATCCCCGATCCTCCGTGATCTAGTCGGATGTTCTAACCACTGAGCTACTGGAGACTCCATGGTGAGCAAGGGTCAATTTGTGGGCCTCGACTGGAACCGCATCGCGCGGCTACACAGCCAAGTATTAGTCAGCGCCTCTGAAACTCACTAACAGCATCACGCTGTCACATTGATATGCTTTAATGTACATCTTGATATGCTTTAATGTGACAGCGTGATGCTGTTAGCGAGTTTCACAGGCGCTAACTAATACTTGGCTGTGTAGCCGCGCGATGCGGTTCCAGTCAAGGCCCACAAATTGACCCTTGCTCACCATAGAGTCTCCAGTAGCTCAGTGGTTAGAGCATCCGACTAAATCACGGAGGGTCGTGGGTTCAAGTCCCATCTGGGGCTCGGATTTTTCTATTACATTAAAATTGTTTCATCTTTACATGTCTCTGATATTCATTCTTATAATACTCGATCCTCTGCCTCTAATCACTTTTACACACAAAGTTCCAGACTCTCAATTCAAGTGAATTCATTTTCTAGAATCGGAACAAAAATATGGAATGAAATGCGTGTATCTTTTAGAAAACTTTCAAAAATGCCTTCAAAAGGAAAAAAAAAAACATCTTTTGAGATCTTAGCCTCAGAAGATTGTTATATTTATCTTCCAGAAATCGTTTAAAAATTTAAGTTGAATTTATCTTCCTCTTGATTGATCAGTTGATATGTATTCAATTATATCGTTTAATGTATCAGTAATTTCCCGTCCAGACTGTTGTCATTTAATATTAGTAATATCATTAGTTTATC